GGTGAGTGATGCGAGGTGATGTCAGACCTCTGTGGTGTGGCTGTAGAGGGTGACCAGCAGTTGGTCTCCAATGCCCCAGGCTATCGGGTTCCACTCCACCTGCTCAGTGAGGGAATTGTGTTTAATGTTATTATCTGAAGATCAGATCTGGAAAGAGCTACAGTAAATTCACTCCCCAGGTGGCTTTAGGTGAGATTAGAGTAACAGTTGATAGAAAATAAAAAAAACATGGCAAACATAATTGAGAAATTAAGACAAACTCACATTGACACTGTCTCCAGCCTTGAGAATATTATCTTCAAATGGGTGTATGATGGGTTTTTTATTGTTGACTCGTACATGTAATTCCCAGCCTTCCAGTTGTTGGTCCTGTTGGAGAGAAATTCAGGGGTGAGACAAAAAGACACAAGCAAATCACCATGGACAGTATTCACAAAAATATCTGTCTTAGTGTAACAGTATGTGATTTCATTTACTATACATATTATTATTATATTGGTTCATGGGTGCATTTTCTTAGCAGATGAATTAAATCTTCAGAATTATAAAACCTGTCTTGAATGAGCCAGGAAAAGACATTTTAATGTGGAATTTTGATCTGCAGTTCTGTTTTGCAAGAATTAATCTTCTAAATTACAAACAAATAATGGTATTTGTGTTATTACTGGCGGATCCTTTAATGATGACAGCCTTGTCCTAACATTATCATTTCCTATCCAGACTTTAACATGGAGTTAAAGTTATCCTTTAGGGATAAATAAAGTATTTATATCTATCTATTTATTTGCACTCACAGCAGTATCATGAATTGCTAAATACAGCCCATGGATTGTGCACTGTGAGTTAAATGCATTGTGGAAATGATAATCTGTATGTTTCTTTTACACAAAAACAATAGGAGATGGATTCTGAGATAAAAAAGTAGATCATTAGCTTGATTTGATACACTGTTAATGGCTATAAAATCACATTGTACACAGTCACTGTTCATCCACATAAACAACATTACCTCACTGGACACATTTCTGACACTGATATATTCTCCCCCTTGGTCGACCTCATACTCAATGATGTCTGTTTCCTTAGCAGCCGAGCCGCTGCCACCCTGCGCCTGGTCTTTCTGAGAGAGAGACAACACACAATCTGGACTGTGAAGCTGCTGACTAAAAGACAGGTTTTCTGTCTTGGACATAAATGCAAAAATGTGATAATATTGTCAGGCTGAAGGTCAATTTTACATGCATTTTGAAAATGTGGCCATAAACCAACCTGAACACAGATTGTCAATGAAATTCTGTATCCATTAATGTTGCTCTTTTCTTGAGTAATTAAAAACTGATGACTTTGTTTCATGTACAGCAGTGACATTTGGGTGTTGCAGATTTGTTCTATTGTGGTTTGAATTGTCTCAACATTTGACTGCAGTTGACTTGGACTTAACAAATGTAATATATTTAATCTCAAGATATGTTGGTTCTTCATGTGGATAATGTATGTTTACAATATATGAACTGGGGATAAAAGCAGAAGATGTGTGACAAAAAAACATTGAGACAATTGGAAATGAACAAACAAACAAATAATGTGGTGGAAGGCAAATTCATAACACGATATAGACCTTAAAGAAACAAGTCTGTCTGTCTCTCTCAGTATGTTTCCTTATT